CTAATTTTTTTTTTATTATTAAAGGAAAACTGGGCCAAAATAGTAAAAAAAATCATTTTTTTAAATTTAACTGTGTGTTTCTTGTTACGACCATAACCTACCACCAAAGAACAACCCAAAATACATTCTCCAGTTCTTGACGATCGCAGCGATACCATATATGTGTATGTTATTTGTTGTTTGTACCCGTAGTAAAGCCCAGAAACAACAGTGCGCATTTTGTTTTTGTCTTTTTTTTTATTTTTATTTTTTTACATAAAACACACTGTCACTGACATTGACATTAACACTAACTGACACTGATACCAATTTTTTTTTAATCCTGACCTTTGACCCTGACCTTTGCCCTTGACCCTGACCTTTGACCCTGACCTTGACCCAAACACTAACCCTGGTACTGAACTAGATCAAACCTTGATCTAGGTATTTTTCTTTATTTTTTAATATTTATTTATCTTTTTTTTACAAACTTTTTTTTTCTCTCTCTATGTCAGGAGTTCGAGAGATACAATGTATCTCTCTTCTCCATTCATAGAGAGAGAGAAAACAAGGGGGCCGGGCTGCACAGTGATTGATCACTGTGATAGCCAATCAGAGGCTATCACAGCGATCACGTGACCCGGAATCGGGAGTCCCGGGTCCCGATCGTTAGAACGGGACCCGGGGCTCTCAGTGACACCGCGGTCTTGGTGCTGGGAGCGCGCCGAGCGGCGCGCTCCCAGCACAAAGACAGGTACGCAAATATGCGGCCCCACGGAAAAAAGCCCAGGTCCGTGAGGCCGCATATTTGTGTTACGTCGGCGTCAAGGGGTTAAAATTAGTATAAAGAATAGGGGATAGTGCTGCACTTTATTATATACACACAATGTTTAACTAAAACCTGCACAGAGACAGAGATTTTGCCATTGTTGACCTCTAGTTCTAGTTGTGTGGCTGTCATGGCAGACAAATAACTTTTACAATTTCTGAGACCCTGACTTGGAACTAGTGTTTAAATTTAGGGATTCTGACTGAAAGTGCATGTCTACTTTTGCAGCCCAGTCTGGATAACAGCTACTTTCTATTTGTTGCCCCCATTCACATAAAATAACTTAAAAATGCATTATTAAAAATATTTAAAGATTGCAATTACCTTATTTACAGTAGATGCTCTTTTTGGAGCTTCCAGATTTTCTATTGGGGCAGATCACAGAAATAGTTGAAAAATTCTAGCAGTCAGCCATGACAGCTTCCCAGAAAAGGTAAATAATGTGGGTTTTTTTTGTGAATGGGAATCCATATAGATGGGTTTCTCACATTTGAAGAAGTAGGGCCAAAGCTTTTTTAGCTGTACTTCTTCTATAGAACACAGGAGTGCTGCTTTCTGCACTACTATGACCCGTTTTTAGCCAACAGCGGGCTAAAGTAAGCTGTTGGATGACTTCACTCAGCCGGTCCAGACTCTGGAAAGATCCTGACTTTAAAGTCAGGTTGCATCCAGATGAGGGGCGGACTGACAACTCATGGGGCCCTCGGGCAATAGGGGATCATGGGGCCCCTGTGTCCTTGCCCAAACTCAAAAAAGCCTATGAAAAAAGGTACCAGGGGCATCTCATGGGGCCCCCTACTGACCCCGGGCCCTCGGACAGTTTCCAAATGGTCAGTCTGCCCCTGATCCAGATGCCTGAGAGCCTGAGCCAGCTGCTCCTGCACCCTCCACAGCCCAGCGTTCTAGTGAGTGCTGGAGGGGCAGAGCAGAGAGACTGTAATAGCAGTAGTAGCTGGAGTAGAAGAAGTAGAAGTAGTAATCTTTGTATTTGTTATGAATATAAGCCATATACAATATAGCACTGCAAACAGCCCAGCATGCAAAAAAGACCCTAGTCATAGGACAGTCCCACTATCTGCCCCGTCTCATTCTGACTGCAACTAAATTGGCCATATCTTCTTTTTTTTAATTACTTTCAAAAGAAAATTCTTTCACATAGTTACATAGTTAGTCTGGTTGAAAAAAGACAAAAGTCCATCCAGTTCAACCATTAAAAAAAAAAAAGTTATAAACCTATACCCACAGAGGAAGAAAAAAAAAACAACAAAGCATGATCCAATTTGCTCCTGCAGGGAAAAAAATCCTTCCTGAACAAATTTTTTAAACACAAATCACCAGCGCCAAAAATCGTGAAATTATATGCCGAATAAACAAATAAATGCTGCTGCTCATTAGTGTAAGCAACAAAAAATACATAAAACATCAAAACAGCGCAAATATATAAAAATTATTAAATACACACTGCAATAAAAAATATAAAATGAAAAATAATAAGTCCCATTCCAAATCAATAGTAAAAAAATAAAAAATTTTAAAATACATAAATATAAAAATAAAAAATAAATTATATCATAAAAGTCCTTTTCCCAAAAAAAAAACTTTTGATCTGTGTTTCCACCGAAATAGTGCTCAAATACTACACCGCACTCACCAGATAATGATGAAAAAAACGCCTTTAGGGTTTTTTTGGGGGGATCCTAAACCCAGTCAGTATGGCTCCAATCACCAGATATTCTTGGATTTCCCCCACTCCAGACAGGAATATAGCCAACCTCCAACCTTCAAGATCACCAGACACCACTCTCCAAAAAAAGTTTGCAATAACGCAGGGAAAAAAACAAATATATAGCGTAATACTGCAACACTCGGTTATACTCAATTTCCAAGTACCAAACCACTCACATTCTTTATAAGTATAATCAGCATTTATTGCATTTTAAATGGAGCCAAAACGCCACATCACCAGGGTATTTTATGAGATCTCACGGTCAGCAACAGATGACAACACAAGAATCACCCATAAGCAAGATGGCCCCTGGGAACGCCGCACGCCGGCGTGCGTTCCACTCACTGGAAGTGACATATTACATTAGGCGGCAAATCCGGAAATGAACAAATTTAACTAGACAAGATACTGTATGCATTATTTTGATCCTTGATATTTAGAGTGACTCTATCACAGGTAAAGTATTGGGGCTGCCAATGTTGGCTTCTCTTGGAGTATATTATTTCCTAGGCTGTCCTTCTGATGCTTTAGGATCAAAGCTTTCTGAGTCTCTGGCTCCTTTAAGTATGTTGGACATCAAACAGGCTGACAATACTGCTACTAATTGCAAGACAGTGGCTTAGCCTTTTCATCCTGCAACAGGAATTGCTGTTAATGGCAGGATTTCCAGGTATGACACTGTACATAAATTACAAAATACAGGGATGCCAAACAAGCTGAAAAATAGGGTTTACATACAGAATACATTATTAAAGTCGAATAATGAGTTTCACATTAATGATCCTGTTGGTAGAATAATTGTTTCCATTGCTTAGGGTGCTGTACATGGCCTGTAACATGTATTATTTTGTTTTCCAGCATTTAGTTTATCCTGCGTCGTCTGCACTACTAATACATCGACCTCGTGCACAGCAACTGCACTGAGATGTGCTTTAACCAGTTATGTGTGCTTGTCTCAATTAACCAAACAATACACAGGTGAGACCATATAAAACTATATTTTAGGGATATAAGACCATTCTAAAGCTAGATATATGATGAAATAATTCCATGCCTTTGCTGGGGGTATTATATGGACCCTTAATGTTAGTGACGGTAGGCATGTGCTCCTCAGAGATTTAAGAAACCTCTGGTTATTATTAGTGACCCCAACAAGAAGGCATGGGATGAACAGAAACATTTTCCCATGTTGAAATTCTCAGTGGTTCCACCAAGGGGGACTGGAGTAAAATACCACTTAGCAAAAAAGCACGTTCTAACAGTCCATGCATATTTACTTGCAATGCCCTTTGGACCTAAGAAGTCCCCATAACTCCTGTATGCATATAAACACTTTAGTCCCTTTTACTAAGTTTTGTTGGTACTTTAAACTTTAAAGAAATACCAAAATACTTTCTAGGATGAGCTCAAAGATGAACTATACTGTTCTGTACTTGCATAAAAATACAGTTGAAAAAAGCGTGTTTATGAGCAAAAAACATTCAATTACAAGATAAGAAAAAACTGCTAAATATAGATAATAATAATAAAAGTATAACAGATGAATAAGTTACTTGTGTCCATTTGCTTGTGTAGATGGGTAGGAATGTGTAAATTGAAGTGCTTATTCCAGCTAAGGGTGTAAGCAGAACATGGTATATTTTGAATCTCCTTGTTACCAATTGACCAGTAGAGGAAGGAGATAGAACAGTCCATCATTCTACATCAGCCATTCTCAGCCAGGATTCAATGGAACCCTTGGGCTCCTCCAGAGGTTTTCAGGGTGCCTTGAGCTGTAGCTGATAGTCCTCCTACCTGATGGTGCCTTCATAGTTTCAAGGCCAGCACCACTTTGCAAAGTCAGCAGCATTACACCATTGGTCTTTTTAGCTTTTTCTCTGTTACCAATTGACCTGTAGAAGAAGGAGATGGACTAGTCCATCATTCTACATCAGCCATTCTCAACCAGGGTTCCATGGAACCCTTGGGCTGCACCAAAGATTGTCAGGGGTTCTTTAAGCTGTGGCTGGTACAGGGGCAGACTGACGGATCATGGGGCTCCTGTGTCCTTGCTCAAACTCAAAAAAGCCTATGAAAAAAGTACCAGGGGCATCTCATGGGCCCCTACTGACCCCGGGCCCTCGGGCAGTGCCCGAGTTTCCAAATGGTCAGTCCACCCCTGGGCTGGTAGACCTCCCTCCTGATGGTGCCTGCAAATTTTCGAGGGCAGCAAACTTGGCAGTCAGTGGCATTACACCTTTGGTCTTTTTAGCTTTCTGTAAGGGTGACAGACCACTACTGTAAGGGGCCAAATTAATTTATTGATATTGTGTTAAAGTGTTACTAAACCCACAACAGTAAAATCAGTCTGTATATGCAGTAAAGCATCCTTGTTATACTCACCGTGGAACCTAAGGGGTTAATCCTCTGCATTGTGTAAAAAGGCTGTTTGATCTTTTCTTCTCTGCCCCTCCTCTTGTTGAAAAGACCTCCTGATACAGACTGAATCCTTAGTCACATGCACACACTCAGTTTGGTGTGTATTGTTAGAGAGGTTTTTTTTTTCTCTTGGGAGAGTGCATGTGATCAGCAAAGGGCCAATCGGCACTGTCCAGACAGAGGGTCCAGGGTTTCACATCCTCCTATAGCAGAAAGAAAACTCCTCCTACAAGCTTTAATCAGTGCTCTGCTGAAGTCACAAGACTGCTCTAACTGCTGATGAGAAAAGGTATTTAGCAGTTTATATTTACTAAAATAATTTATTTTCCATGTTGTGTGTACTGTGCAAGTTCAGATAGAGTGAATGCAGGGTCCTGGGTTTTGTAACACTTTAACAGATAGCCTATGCATTCTGGGGTCAAAGGAACTCCCCCTTCATCAGGGCTTCAGTAAAAAATGAGAACCTTGAGAGAACTCAAAGTAAGGCTTTCCTCTTTGTATCTGTACAGGGAAGCTAATTGCTGGATTAGGATTCCTGGTCAGCAGTATCCACACAGCAATCAAAATAAGACTTTTGGTCTTATTTTGACTACTGATGTACATACTGCTGGTCAGGAATCCTAAACCAGCAATCAGCCTTCCTGCATTCATGTTGAAATGGGAGGATTTAGGGTATGAATAGTCCACCTACTCTTCCATCCTCCCACACTTTAGATCCTCCCATTCCCACACTCAGGGTTGTCTATATATTTTGTGTTCATTGTATTGGAATTGATAAAGAAGCATTCACTTTCAAATGCCATCATCTGTAGTCTCCTGGGCTCCCCCAGCCACCGTCCCTGGGATCAGTGTATTGAAGATGTCACGTCCGGCTGGTTGGTGACAACATTTCCATTCCAGGGTGTATCTGGTTTGGCTGGCAGCCATCTTCCTGGTTGGTGCACTCATGCAGAGTGGCTCCACGGAACACCGGAGCTCCTTGTCTAGACAGTCCAGGGGTTTCCATATCCAGGACCTACATGCATGTTCAGTGGCCTGGCTTACATACAGATACACTATCTACCTCCACATTCCACCAGGAGATGCTACCATGGCTGTAGTGAGATCTAGCTGGTTCTATTTAGTTACCAATGAGTCTATGTTTACTGTGGCGGCTATTTGAATAACGAGATGTTATATGTTTTTATCAAGTTGAATAAAAGGATCACATTTTTAACTGATGGACTGAACTTTCCTTGGGCACCTTTTATATATATTTACTTTCAATTTATTGCCAATTACCAGTGCATTGTTTTTTTATCTTTGAGTGTACTTGCTTTGCCCCTATTCCCAAGGGTGTTTTTTTTTGCAGCTACACTTGGAATGTGTTTGTCCACATTGTGCAATTTAGTGCCTAGCCCAGCTGTCATTTTGTCTGTTGCAAGCCGCCTAACTTGAGACAGCGGGCTCTTCAAATGTGTTTTTCCCTTTCACTACCTTGTTGAAACTCATATCAAAGTCCCAGCATCTCTTGGATGCCTTTTTGTTTTCACTGGAGTCACTACTGTAAGGGAGGCAGTCTATCTATTGTAACCAAAAGATAGACACTGACTATCTATTGGCCACCAATGTAAGGGGCATTCTTGCCATTTTATTTATTTTAGCAAGGGCTCTCCGAGACCTGGAAATTGCTTCAGGGGTTTAGGTTGAGAAAGGTTGTTCCACATAGTAAATACGACTTGTAAGTTTAATGCAGGGTTTCTCAACCAAGGTTCCGTGGAACCCTAGGGTTTCTCCAGAGGCTGCTAGATGTTCCGTGAGTAAAGAGCAATTTCTGCCTCTCAGATAAGTTCCCACTGACACCATTGATCGTTTTAATTATCTGTAAAGGGGGTAATTCTTCCCAATGACTCCAAATGAAGGGAACATTCTTCCCACTAACCGTCACACTAATGTATCATGAGTTGTAGATATAGTAACTTTTAGCAGGGGTTCCCTGAGACTGGAACGTTATTTCAAGTGTTCTTCTGTCGTGAAAGGTTGAGAAAGGCTGGTTTAATGTCTTCTTATATCGATCATTTGAATTAAATAATCATACATATACTTGTACAGTTCTATAAGAATTCCTTTCTTTCATATATCCATGTCCCCCAAAAAATGTTACAGTATCAAGCTAGTAAATTTTTTCCTTATAAAAATCAGAGACCATTTTTTTATAGATGTAATAGTCCTGCTCTTTCTCTCCAAACCAGAACCAAAGTAAAATTCCAGAGACAGTTATCTTGGACCCTCCACATTCATACAATAAAATATATCCTATTGATAACGATAGCCTTGTTAGCAAACGTATTAATGTAATTTATATGAATAACTTCTTTGTATGACTTGTTACTAGTCCATTATTCTAATACACTTACTGATCATTAGTGAGGAGTTGGTGGCAGGAAGAGACAATCCCATATTAAAGTTTTCTCTCCTTAAAGTATAACTAAAGGCAAATTTTTTTTTTTGTTTTAGTTTTGGATAGAGAGGGATTAAATCACCACTTAGGTTTTTATTGTTGTCTGTGCCCCTGTTAGAGAGATTCACCCTCTCTGTTTGTCCTGTTTACGCTTTTACAATTGAACGGATCTGCTGCCCTCTACTGCTGGTGACTAACAGCCATGGATAAGGGGGTACCACCAGTCCTCCAGTACAGGGCCCAGGCAAGCAGGGGGGCACAGACAGCTAGGTGAATCATATCAGGGCAGGGACGGAGATCAACATGGTGAGGGGGGTACTTACTGGAACCGATCCCCTGTATGGCTCTCTCTGCAGGAGCTGAAAGCTGGCCTCTTCTCCTCTCCCTCCCCATGGCTTCCAGCTGCTGCAAAGAGCCATACAAGGGATCGGTTCTAGTAAATGCGCCCCCCCCCAGCTACACTTATCACCCTCCCTGTGCACCATACATTTCCCCCTGCTGCTTTGCTCTCCCTGCCCCCACTCCTGCAGTGCCTCCAGCTTCCCTCCTCTCCTGCCCACCGGCAGCTGCAAGCACACATTAGGACCTTCAGGGTGGAGAGTGGGGGAAATGTCCTGTAAATATGTCACATTTGCCAGCCCCTTCCTTCCCTGAATGAACACAATTAGTGATTGGTACTGATCACTCTTTGTGTTCATTCATAACTGAAGCATCGTAAACTGTGTTTTTGAAAAAGGGCCCTGTCAGGTTGGCTGTATAGGGCCCTGTGGTTTCTAACAGCAGCCCTGGTGACTAATATCACAGTGTTATGTATACTTATGTATTAGCACTTCTGGAAAGGAGTGGAGAGAGAGAGAGAAAAGTCCCAGCCACATGTCCTGTCTATGCTGCTAAATGCAGACCAGAAGAGACTGCAAGTATTCTTATGTTCCAATAGTTGAACTGCAGCTACCCATAGCTTCTTGAGTGTGTATCTAAATCCTTCTGACTGGCCTATCTCTGTCCTATTGGTATTATCTCACATGCACAGTGCCAAAGAGCTAGGTCTGTGCTACTGTATTTGTGTAGTGGTTGCCTTACCGTATGTTAGTAGGTGAATCTGTCTATTGCAATAGACTTTAAATACAGCTCCTGGTAATTTAGTTAACCCTGTCCCTTCTGGTCTGGTAATAGATACCTAGTTTTAGCTCAAGACTAGCATAGGCTAGAGCCAGGTTAGACATTCAATGGCCACTTCTGGAACTTTGAGTTTAGTTGCATGTCAGATTAGAAAATACTATGGAAGGATAACAGCACAGAGTAGGCTGACTCTTCCAGTGCCACACCATGGATTCTGCATGTGAGAAACTGCATTCTAGACTGGTTGGACAACAGTTGGAAGATCTCCCTATCACTGCTGATCTTGTTTTCAGGTCTCTGACACAAAGACCAATGTAGCATCGTGATTATTTTACATTTTGATTAGATTTCTGGTTTGATTTGTCTTATTTACCTAAAGGTTTAGCTCAATATCCTGCTTTGGGAGGGTCATTTCTAAAAATACCCCCCCCCCAAAAAAAAAGAGGGCTACACCATGAAAAAATAATTTTGGGCTGTCACCAGAATAGAGGAAAAATATTTTATTGGGGACACCAGTTGCAGTGACCCTGGTGACAGCAAGCAATTCTCTCACTTTGGAGGGATTTGCTTTAATTTCCTGTTTTGGCTATGGGACAGGAAGTTAAGGGAAATCTCACAAATGGGACAGAAGGCAAAATAAAACTGACAGGCGTTATAATCCTTCCTTAAGATGGCCATTAACAAATACATTTTAGAACAAAGAGAAATTCCCATCCTTCTCTTTCAAATTTTCTTTCTTTGCAGTCAAAAAATAATTTTTTTTTTTTGACCTGGCAGATGATTAGAGAAACAAATGAATGTTGGTAAACAGAAACTTTTGAATAATTTCTACTAGTGTATCTCCAATTTAACTCTATTCAAAATAAAAAAAAAGGGGTCGTGCCCTCTGTGTAAGCAGTAGTCTCCCTACAGAGGTTGACACATCCCCTATATAGTGGGTTAACTGCTTTCACAGAGTGGGTCCTTCTCTGCAGCATACTGTCAGGGATAGGCCCTTCTACGCAGGCTGTGGCTGCTTTCTAAAGAAATGCAACTATAAAGTGTTACTAAACCCACAACAGTAAAATCAGTCAGTATATGCAGTAAAGTATGCTTGTTTTACTCACTGTGGAACATAAGGGTTTAATTCTCCTCATTTTGTAAAAAGGCTGTTTGATCCTGTTGTCTCTGAACCTTCCCTTCTTCTGCTGTCCCCAATCCATTTGCTGATAGTGCAGAGCTCTAGGAGTCACTCTGCACATGCTTAGTTTAGTGTGTATGGCTAGAGAGTTTTTTTTTTTTTTTTTTTTTTGGGGGGGTACATGTGATCAGCACAGAACCAATTAGCACTGTACATACAGAGGGTCAGGTGTCATGCAGCCTCTTAGGACAGTCAGAGCAGAATGAAAACTACTACAAACTTTAACCAGTGCTCGGCTGGAGACTGATAGAAGTCACAAGACTGCTATATACTGCTGATGAGTAAAGGTATTTAGCAGTTTATATTTACTAAAATAATTTCATTTCCATGTTCTTTGTACTGTGGGAGACCAGATATAGTGAATGCAGGGTCCTGGGTTTAGTAACACTTTAGGACTTAGCACACCTTTACTTTTAATGCTCTTGGAATGTATTTAGCTGGTTTAAAGGGTAATTACAGCTCAGCTAAAAATGTAATATGTATAATGACACCTACCATCCCCTAGATGTTAGATTGTTTTCTAACATTTTCAGCAAGGTGTTTCATGTATCCTCATGCAGGCAGTCCCATTCATGTCAGTTGGGATGCAGTGGCTGCATGGACATAGCCGCTGTTCCCAATTTGACATTCGTGTGAGTGCAGGTACGTTCGTGTCCCCGAACGCACACAATCTGCATTTGGGGACACACACCAGTACTCTCACAGAGGAGCAATGGCTGTATCCCAATTCACATGAAAGGGACTACCTGCACACTGATGTCTGGAACAACTGTGTATCCCATGAAGGCAAACATGGTCCTTACATGGGTGTATGCTTAAGTATGCCTGTATGAACAAAGCCTTAAGGTCCAGCATGGATGGCAACCATGGCTTCCATAAAAAGGGGAACGTATCCATCCATGGACAGGAAGTGTGTTACTGGCAGGAGTACTAGATAAGAATTAATAGAAAAAAAAACTAAAAAAGGAAACTAAGGCAGCCACCACATCTGAGGGCTGGTAAGATGCAGTATCATAATATTCTGTTTTTGACTTTAGATACTCTTTGAATTGAAAGTTCAGTTTGGTATTAAGACAAAATTTTTAATTTCTTTTATATATTCAGTAGTGATTCTAGTTAGATTGTGAGAGAATAATATTTGGCTCTGTATATATTTTCTCTGTTGTAGATAGTGGATACCCCCCATTGTATGTGTTCAAAAGAATGTGCTCCCCCACCTCTTATTGTAACACTAAGGGCATAATGACAGACTTACAATTCACAACGGTGACATCAACTACTTGTTGTACTACAAGCTCGTGCACCCCTACAGCACCAGTCCGTAAGTATATTAAAGGAAACCTTTTTCAGTGTTGTTATCACATTGTATATGATTTAACACTTCTGTTCTTTAATTTGATCCTTCTATTCTTTCTTTCTTTCTTTCTTTCTCAGTGCCTGCTGTAAGCACGTTCCCAGTGCTTATTCCTGCCCCGCTTGCACCAAAACGGACATCATACCGTGCCCCATGGACTATGTTATACAATGTCCAGGCAATCAGAGCCAGTGCATGCAGTATGTGGAAAATGAGATTGTCACAAGTAAGTGTATAATGCCGCATTACCTAGAAAATTATACTTCTCGATGCATGTCCATCTCTACTTCCCTTGAGAGAAAACTAATATCCTAGGGGTCGGTTTTATTTGTTTAATTCATTTATTTATCATTCATTTACATTTAGTTTTTTTTCCTATTCTTTTCCTTTTTACATTTATACATTATTAAAATTTATATATGTCCTTGTATCTTATGTATACAATCTTTGTTTAACAGATACATTTTTAATATATGATAGCTAAGGGACAGCACAGCAGAACTAGCTCCATCCTGGCACAGCTGTCTCTCATTGACCATTTGGTCTGATAAGGGGTTACTGACTGCTATAAGTCATTGACTTGTGTGTGCAAATTGTAGCTAGAGCTATTCATATTTGTTAACAGCATGTGAACAGCTGAAAGCTCCACCTGCTCCCTACAACCTTTTACAATCCTATGATTGGCTAAGATTACAACACTCTAATAAAGCATCTTTGAATAAGAACCATTTATCCCTTCATTTCTTTATAATAAGGCTTTACCCATTCAGATTGGAATAGAGAGTTGTCCATTTGCTGAACCATATTTCAAAAACAGTAAGGCTAGCAGTAAATAAGATTCTCTGGGTATTGGAATGCTTTGAAATAGACAGTGTCAGCAACAATGAGCATCTGGACATTGGTGCCACCAATGACATCACTATCACCCTAGGCATGACTGCAGATAGGGGGGGAGAGCCAACCTTCCTGTACTAAGTCCTGACTCGCTTGTTCTTCCTGATTGCCTGGGAGCAGAGAGGGGATATTTATTCCCTGTTGGGGAGCAGGCAAAGGATTACTACAGGCACAAGCTGCTTTCAGGGGCAGGAAAAGTAATATTACATGAATTGGCTTCTGACAATTACTCCTGATCCCTGCATTTTGTCAGTTACATACCCCTGATCCCTTCCCTCTGTACATTACATATTCCCGACCCCTGTACTCTATAAGTTACATACTCCTGGTGACTATGTGATATTCTGACAGAAGAATGGTACTTGTTACACTTTGAATTTTTGTATTATGTTATGCTAATATAATATAACATTCTTAACCCAACACTACAACCACATTAGGCTTACTGTTTATTATAGAATTTTCTAGATGCATACCAGTCTAAAATATTGTCATATTTTGCTTCTGTTTTAGGCGGGAATGCCCGATATGGAAATTTGACGGGATGCTCTGATCTCACTTTTGCATCAGTTCTTCTTCCATTATTTTACAGTAGTTCATCCGGGTACAAATCATACTACGCTGCTTACCAAGCAACAGTCTTAAAACCAAGTAATTTTTTTTTTTTTTTTATCAACATAATTTAGATGCAACTACTACTAATGTGATTAAAACTGAACTCCAGGCAGACATAAAAGACACAAAATAAGTCAGCTCTGTATTCATTAATACATCCTTAAAGGATAAGTATACCTTTCGTAACACGTTACATGTTAAACCCATATTTAAGGTGTAACATGTAACATGTTATGGATGGACTGGCCCCTACCCAACTACAAGTTCTGACAGCCTTTGTAGCTTTCGGCTTATAGTTCTCAATTAACTACCACGGCGCTGTGGTAGTTCATTGAGTCTTCCTGTCAGAGTATCTGCCTGCCTGTATGATGTACGGGCACACAGACACACTGACAGGTTTGCAGGGGACCTGCATGATACAAATGATCTTCTCTTTTTGGGTTTTGATAGGGAACAATGACCTTGGATAGGGATACCCCAGAACTGTAAAAACAGACCAACATGAGGACTCTTAAACTTCTGGGTCCGTTGCACAAACATGAATGTCCCACAGGATCTCTATGCTGATGGTGAGCTGTACTACTCCCAGAGTTAAATGCTACACACAGTCACTACTCTTCAGCACTGGGGTCATCTAGCCACAGGATCATTGGTTGCCTCCTACTGATATCCACCAGGCTCTTCCTAGTGAGATGTAGACTCACACCACTATAAGACCACTGGACTCCTTTCCACTAGCTTCCTCTTGGCTCTCCAGTGAACATCTCCATATCTGACTTCATCCCCAGGTGCGGATTTGCAAATAGGCCCCCCAGCTAAGCCTAGCTGGGACCTCATAGTCTTCCTGAAGACTTCCTCTAGGATCCTGTCCCAGGGGAAAACCCTCTGCCCAAAGGTCTCCTCCTTCAGGACTGGACTCAGGAACACTGCCATGTGATTCCCAGGCCTCAGTCTATTTATGGGCTTTCTCACCACCTACTGGACACACCTGCTGCATGCCCTGTCCTTCCTCACACAATTATTCTAGTTTAGAATCCTCTAGAAGATAGGGGGAAGTAGCAGAGCAGTAGCCTGTGAAACAATGAGCAGCTGTAATTAATCAACCCCTGCTCCTCCAATTACAGGGGAGCCAAACTAAATTTACTGAGCAGTATACTGTACACTTGGAGGGTGCTACATATACAAACATTGCACTACGTGGCACTACCCCATTGACTTCAAAGGGTGGGTTAGACAAGCTTCACTGGTGTGCTAAGCTAAATATGCCACAGCTTTGACTTGTGTAAAATCTCCTCCAACTGCATGTTATTTGTTAAATGGGTGGTCAATGAGCAACAAAACCACGGTTCAACCATCTGTTTAACACTCCCCTTCTGCCCCTGTGAAAAAGGTCTAAATATTACTAAACTACACCTTATTAAAACAGGTCTCCCTTCCTGCTAGTCAGGTCTGTGCTGTGTGGCAGAACTGTATAAACTTCATAACTGGATGGACAAAAATACAAACCCTTTGGTAGTTAAAACAGTCCCCACATTTGCATTACAACTGTGTATTTAGCTGTTTGCCTTGGGTACAGCCTTATTAAACATTTTAAACCAGTGGTGACTAATTATGGTATAAGAAAATATTGCTTCTGGAGGTTTGGCTTACAGCATATTTTTTTCTTGATGGGAATGGAATCCATATTGAAGGTTCATAGATGGCCATGGAATAGTCATAGATAGTTGGGATGAGGAGCAACAGGATGAGAAGAACAACAAAATGTGTTAGGGTTTATTGGTATGGTTTATATTTCTTAGGATAAGTGACAATTCTCCAAAAAATCATTAATATTGTATTTTGTTGAAAGACTGCCAGTCATTTTAGAGACCAAGGTTTTATAGTCTACATAGAGACCAAGCCATTATGAAAACCACATTTTTATAGCGGCTAGAACTTGCCATAGCATGAATGGGGCTTACTAATCTGATGTAGGGAATATAAAGACACCATATGACATCTGTTGAACTCCTCTATACTGTACATGTCTAATTTTCAGGAAGTGTCTTAGCATAAAATTGCCAACATTCAATTTTATGATCAGGTACCATCATGGCTTTGTTATCATTAATTTATTTAAAGCTAAAACTCTAGGGAGAGATACACTCTTCAGCCAAAAGTATGTGGAAACCCATCTAAAATATTGAGTTCAGGGAAGGGTACTATTAATGTCACAGCTCAGAGTGCAATGGTACAATTCTAAGCTTGTGACAACAATTGGGGGAAGGCCCTTTTATGTTCCAGCATGATTGTGCCTGTGTGCACAAATCTGCTCCATCAAGACATGGTTTGATGAGTTTGGTGTGGAGGAACTCAACTGGTCTGCACAAAGTCTTGATCACAACCCTACTGAAGGTCTTTAGGATGAAATAGAAGCCATGAGCCAGGTCTTCTCGAACATCAGTACCTGACCTTGCAAATCTTAGTTTGGCTGAAAGAGAAGAAATTTCCACACTCCTCTTTGGAAAGACTTC